GTTCCTGGATATTTACATCTTTCTCAAGTTTCAGAAAGCTTTCTGTTATTATTTCTTTGAATAAGTTTTCTACCCCTTGCTCTTGCTCAACCCCCTCTTGAATACCAATAATGCTTAGATTTGGTCTTTTGAGATAATTTTCTATGTCTTGGTGATCTTCATTCCTTTTCATTCTTTTTTCTTCTCTGACTGTGTATTTCAACCAGCCTGTCTTTGAGTTTCACTGATTCTTTCCTCTGCTTGATCCATTCTGCTGTTGAGAGCTGCTAATGAATTTTTCAGTTCAGCAAGTATATTTCTCAGTTCCAAGATTTCTGAGGTTTTTTTAAATTATTATTTCAATCTGTTAAATTTCTCTGATAAATTTCTGAATTGCGTTATTGTATCATCTTGGAGATCATTGAGTTTCCTTAAAACTGCTATTTTGAATTCTTGGGCAGAAAGCTCATATATTGCTGTCTCATTAGGGTCAGTCACTCACCCCTTGCTTTCTCCATTTGGGGAGGTCAGGGTTCCCAGTTTGCTTTTGTTTCTTAAGGATATATGTCTATGTCTTTGCCTTGAAGGATCCATTATTTATTCTAGTCTTCTCTGTCTAGCTTATTTTGGTTTTCACTGGATATGTTTGCTTATCCTTTGTAATTTACTTATTGATTTTCTTTCTTTTTTTCCCTTTGTGTTACTGCCTCCTTTTCATCACTAGATGCAGCATTACGCACAGGTTTACCTTGGCTCTAGTAAAAGATCAGCACAGGTTTACCTTGGCTCTCCTAAATGGGGGCTATCCTGGTAGTGTGGGAAGGCTGGTTATGGAATGAAGCTCCTACAGTGCAGTGCTGCTGAACAGCCACTTTGATTTGGTATCTCCTTTGGCCAAGTTATAGAGTAGAGTTTCCAGGACTCTCCAGGACTGGGGGCGGTAGTCTTGCCTCTCCCCCTTTGTCTTTGGCTGTCCTCAAAAATATTTCTGCCTTTAGGCAGTCCCAATGCTCCTCTAGGTTGAGGCAGGGACAGATCTTCTATCAGGGAACCCAAGATGATGGGGAAGCTGGTTGACAACTTCAATCTTACTCTTTCCAGTGTAGAAACCATGAGTCAGGGGACATTTTCCACTGGCTTGGTGCCATGCAGATTGAGAGGAGGGGCATTATGGACATGGAAGTCCAATTCTCTTACCATCTGCTGAGAGATTTTTCACTTCTCTGTGGCCCTGGAAACTGTCTCATCCTTATGTCTGAGTTCTGGGATATTACTGGTGATAATCTCAGCATTGTATACTTGTTTTTGGTTTTCTCTTGGGGAGGGAGTGAAGCCAGCTTGCTTCTACACCACCATTATGTAACCAGTAGTCCTCTTGGGTTGCAATTTTAAATAGGCTGGTCGTGGTAGGCCATAATTGAGAATATATCATTTGAACCAAGACTTGACACGACCGAGGGGATAAACCACGTGGATACTGTGGGGACAACATTTGAAGAAGAGGAAATAATACAAAGGTCTTGAGGCAGGAGCCAGCCAGAAGTGTTCAAGGAACAGCAAAGAGGCGTATGTGGCTGAACAGAGCAAGTGCCAGGGGAGCGCAGGGAGGTGAAGTCAAAAAAATAATGAGATCATCAGAATGTGATGTGGGTAAAGCAACAAATAACATTGTTGGACTTGGTGTTTGTCCAGCTGACGAATATAAACTGGTATGTTATTGGGATTTTAATTTACATTTCCCTGATTATAATGGAATTGAGCCTTAGTTTATTGGTCATTCCTAAAGTTCAGAAGATTTGAAGCCTGCTTATTCTAGAGGTAAAAAGAAATAAAAAATAAGAAATTAAAAAAAAAAAAAAGACGAAGCTTTGAGACTCAGGCTTTTTAACAGAAACTAAAGGGTTGCGCACACCTTGCATCTTCAGGAAGTTCCCTGGAAGGTCATTAACATAATTTCCCAATCCCGGAAAGGAGGAGTTTTGAAACTGTAGTTACCAGATTTAGCAAATAAGAATAC